TCGTACTCTAGAAGACTTGAAAGCTTCCCATATCGGACCTCTAGGAGATTAAATGTTGCCGCGTAATTGTTGACGGCTACTAGCTGGTCATTCCAAGGATTATTCACCTCGGCAACGAGCTAATACCGTTGGAAGGTTTGTACTGGTTACGCTCTAATTAGCATACTCATTCACTCATCTCAATTGGAACTCCTGCAATCAATCTCTATGACCTCCTGAACTCGTCGTTCTTTCTGCTGACTATTTTACTTTGAATGAATTCCTCTCTGTCAGGAGGATGCCATTCATTTTGACATCACTGAAAGGTATCTTTTGAAGGCCTATCCACTTTTTCATCTCCGATAGGTTTAAAGTTTGAAGAACCGAGACCAATAATCATTAAAATTGATACCAATCAACTTTTGAGTCCTCCTAAAAAATTTGCTGCTGAATGAGTTGCTCTACCAATATGGCAGGTATATGGAGTCAAACGGTGCCTTTACAAGGTCTATTACTACTGCAAACGAATTAATAGGATTAGTTTGAGAGCTGCATAGTTCAAAAGATTCGCCTCAAGAAAGAATTTGCAGCTCTCATGTGTGTCATTTGGTTGTGCAAGGTCGAGGGGAACAGATGGTGAGACTTGGATCCCGTTTCAAAGGATGAGGTGATGTTGGGGTATAGTTGGATGGTTACTGGCTACAGCGGGCGAGTAGGCTTCAAGTTAGGAACGACAATTTGTTTATTTCGACAGTGAGGCCCAAGTTCAACCAGAACTGAAGAGTTTTCGAATCTGTAGGTGGGTGATACCGTATATTTTGCGTATATTCGGTATAACTTCAGACAGGTCTTTTACGACCGTTTAGTGAGTGGGTTTCCCAATAGAGCCCCTTACCGGAACAACCAGTGGCTCAAAAAGCCAAGAGTATATACGCTAGAAGGTTCGAAAGGATTATTCTCTTTTCGCTCTGCAACGTAAATAACACCTATTTTCAGAGATTAGAACCCATTAGTGATTTCATGACTTCGAGACAAAGATCGACTCTCAATTAGATGATACCTACAGGAACAAGTTTCAGAAAGCTTTCGGTTTTTCTTTCCCGAGAGGATCAAAACATTTTGCTACCTTCTGAACGAAATCCTCAATGCTACTGCAGTTCGGGACCTAACAAGGCTAGCATGTAATCTCAAAGAAAGCCATTCAGTGTAACTTACTTAATCTTCAAGACTATCCAGCGGCCAATAGTGGAACCACTAACAGAATGAGCTGGAATCATGGGAATGACCAACCTGCCCGAAATGTCAACCTCCATTTACCAACCCACTGAAGGACTCAACAAGCAAGAAAAAATATTTCTGGGTTCAGATGCTATTTGTTATCAACTGTCACCATCGGAAAACCTGTGAATATGAAACTACAAGTAAATTTCTAGTGATCGATCTTATATTCCACATTAAGCTGAGAGTCGCTTTGAAATTGCAAAGTAATAAAAAATCTGCTTAACATTGATGGATCCATCTCAAGAGTTATTGTAAAAATGCCAATGGGCTTAGAAGCCTCATGATCGCTTATATCATCAGTCATATGCTTCATTCTCATTCTCTCTGATTCGTTCCGTCAGAAAAACATATTCTCCTTTTGAATCGAGTGCATTTGATAGGAACATTTTGAAAATCAAAAAAATCAGAACGAAGAAGAAGAAAACGCTTGAGCACAGGCTGTCCTATCGGGTAACTGTCTAGAACGAAAACAATGTGTAAACAATATCATACAAATGTAAATACAATTACATATGCACCATACAGGAGTACGTGTGTGATAGGCATTTACAACACTCTTTTTAAGGCACTAAAAAACTTTGTCTGTACTAAAAGATTAGGTCCACATTCACCCCGTGACCTCCATCAGAAGCACTGAAGTGCAAGTTAGGTGTCTCGGCTCAAATTTCGATGATTCAATCAAATGATTCATTCACGAGCCCTCCTCCGAAGCTATGCATTCTTATCGATTCCGCTATCGACCAATGCATGCCTTTACCTTCGCTCACCGGTCCTGTTCTTTTTCTTGGCAACTTCTGAATTTGGCGATGGTACCAATAGCCCAGTGTACAGTAGAAGCCTTTCATTTCGAATGTATTGAAGATTTTTCGTATCACATAAGTTGCAACGTTCCTTTCGCCTGACAGCAAAATGAGTATAGGCCCGGGGACTGGAATAGGCACCTTTTGCCGTTCAGATGATTGCAATGACTGGAGTTTGTTTTGAATTCCTTCACTATTGTTTGACATCGTTCCCTTGAACTCATAAAGAGAAATGGTCGGGCGGCAGGAGCAAACGACGTGAAGCTCGATCTCGACCATTGAAATGGGCGAGAATATCTTAGAAGGGTTAGAGTTTCTGAGCTCTTAGCTTCATTATTTCCAAATGAATCGGAACTAAACAAGCGCAATCAATTCGAAGCTCTCCCGCAGTGGGAAAGAGAGCTAGTTATTTTTCAAAACAACAGAGCTCTTCTGGATTATGAATGAGTCCAATTTTCATGTCTAGAGACAGCCTTATGAGTTATTTTATGGCTGATATTGTTTTGCAATTGAAAAAGACCTCAATGCAAACAATGTTCTAAAACTTCGAGTAGGTTCTGATTTATTTTCGCTGTCTGACCGATTCGAATCCTGAAAACTATACCTTATTGAAAGAAAGATCGACTCTCGATGAATCGTGTCATGATATATTTTGACGTACCACGAACATCTTTCGAGCTTCGGCCGAGATGTTAAAACTTTTATTCAGCTAACATTTCGGCCTCGTCGCCTACGTCAGTACCTTTAAGCCAAAAATATATTTCATTCATTCTAATCAAACATTTCAGGCCTCAGCTTATTGTTAGATCAGGCATAGCTTCCAGATATCTAGAACATACGTTCAAATCACTTTAAAACTGCCTAATCAAACATTTAAGAGTCAGAGCCCTCAGATTGACGTTTGATCTGAAGTCGGTGGGAGTTGAAGCCCAAACTGGTTCAGGGAGGGAGACAGATCATTTGTTAAGGCTAAGAACTCACCTATCCTGTTCCAGAGGTCTTTGCACTGATTCGGAGCTTTTACAGTCAATCCAAAGCTCTAAAAGGTGTAACTCGTGGAGTTGATTGCTTCCTAGTTGAGAATTAGCTAATACTAATGATATTTTCTGATACCGCACGTGGGGAACCTGTGATTCCCTCCGTTCTTGAGATTCGGCTAGTTGAACTGTGTAAGTTACCGATAAGTGGGGCTACTCTATTGTCTGTACGGAATCTTACGAGATATTGTGATTGCTTTTGTTGCAACTGAGCTCTCTTCATTGAGGTACAGTCAGAGTGAGTCGAGCAATAGGAATGGGGTGAAGAAAATTAAATGCCCTCCGTTACATACCAGGAGAACTGCTTACTATGTAGTAGTATGCAGCTCTAACCGATTCCTAAGCTTTTACCAAGATCTCAATCCTTCTCCACTTACTGGGAAATAGCTTGCAGATCAGAAAATCATCCCAGATAGAAGTTTTACAGCAAAATTATAGCCATTTTCATCTGATGTCAAACTATTCAAAATGGACTCTAAGTGGGAACTTGATGAATTTTGTTTCGTTCCCCACTATGGTCCCCTCCCCGAGAGCAGCACTCTTAATGAGTAACTATTCATTTGTGTGTCGATGTAATCTGATCCGATGATGTCACGCTCTGACCAGCGGGGATACTCACAATCCGATCGGAGGATTCGGTCAGCTGGGGCGGCGAACCCTCGTCCCTACCTGCGGCCTCCGTGCATTTGCATATCGAATCGCTTATGTCAACAGTGTGTGTCTCGCCGCTCGTCACTATAGTCATGCTCCAGTCGGCTGGAAGCTGCAGCACCTCTTGTCCCACATGTCTATACCTCTTTACGAGCTCTTCATTAACTAAAGAAGTGTCCTGTTGTGTTTCTGGAAAAGGGCTTAGTCCAGAAACAAAGCATGAACTTTCTTTCTTTTTGCTTTCTTGTCGTTGTACTGATTATGAATGGAGTCTAGGTCTATTTTGGGCGTGACTTATCGGCTGTCGTCCTTTTGGTACTGATCGGCTTTGATTCAGACAGCTTCCGTGTATGTAAGCCATCGATGGTGGCCTGCCTTATCAGATGTATGAACGTATTCCGCCTAACTTCGCCTTCGCTGTTCTTTGCTATCTAATCAATATTCAAACGATTCTGAAAATGCTTACCTTTTGCCCTTTCTAACCACTTTCTTCGTTTTTTGTATTTTTACAATTTCCACTTCTATATACTTACGCTTGCTTGATTGATTCTTCAGTTTCTTCAGTTATTCGCTCCTTTCTATCCCTCAGCTTGACAAACTTGTGGTGTAGATGAATAGTAGGGGAGAAAAGATTGGAAAGTCAGCATGGTCCTGAATACGCCATATAATGAACCTATATTCGATAGAGTGAAAGCTTTCAGGCGTTCAAGGGTGCCCTGGTGGGCTAGAATGGGCTCCGGGGCTTGGCAAATCAGGTTAGCGTATTAATGCTTAGCGAGTAACCGCTTTTCAAGGAATGGGTCGGCTCGTATGGTTGGCATGGGACCTGTGGGAAGGAATCATAGCTATTTAAATTGCAAAACTACATTATCGATTGGTTTCTAATCGATTACGGTATAGAAATGCATTGGAAATGCACAAACTGCGGCACCGAAATCCTCTGTTCCTTCAATACAGTCTGCTATCAATCTGAATTCTTCTTGCTGTTCATTGCTTTTTCGCTTTTTTAGTTGTTTCAATTTTAATGGTGATGGTGTCGTCGTCGTTTCGCTTAGTATGAACTCAAATTACTTGTAATTCTGACGATGGCATGTTGAACTTCGCTGTAGAAGAGCGTTTAGAAGTCAACGTCACCGTACGGGCGATCACTCCCTAGCACAAGAAAGGAGCCAGCTCCCATTTTCAATACGATGTATTGGAGAGCCTGTCCTGGGTAGTAGCGGAGAGATCGATTAGCTTTCTTTAACTCACAATGGTCTGCAATCCATGCTGCTGCTTCAGTTTAAAGGACAGTGCCGTCATGATCGGCATCTGGACGTTGGTAAGTTCTAGTGATGTCGGTTGTTTTGTGTCATGATTGTGGATCGTCTTCTAGGTATATTCGATAGCGTCACTGTTTCTATTCGGTTGGCAGACTGGCGTTCTGAACCATTGTCGTTCAGTGACCATGTCTCAAGCAAATCTCCAATGCGAGTGGGATTGTCCATGTGTCGGCTCTTCCACCGCTAGGACTACTCGAATCATTGAAGGTCTTCATTTTTCGGCTTTTGCCAGGGAAGGAGAGTGCTCTGTGGCTCGTCGTGCACCAGTCTGCCAACCGAACATCTGAATCATTTCCATAGCTGTCACAAAAAGTCAAGCGCTTTAGGTCTCTTCAATCGCGCAACTCGGTATCATGGGTTGGCAGATGGCGGCTATCAAATACGAGAAAGATCGAGCTGCAAACACTCTCCTTCCCAACTATAACACTTATGGGAAGTATGACATTCCGTCCTACTACGAGTCTTACTGGCAAAGCCCTGAAGAGCGATACTACACAGGTACAGACATTGATCGGTTTTGTAGGACATCCAACATAATGGGCTATGGATTGCTTTCCGGGGTTCTGGGAGGTGTTAGGCCCGGGACTACTCTACCGCGCTCCTTTAAAAGTACCATTACTCCCGCAAAAGCACCGTTGTTAGACTAAAAAACTGGCCTCATTTGGTCCCCTCTCGCCGAGGATGCTCCTAACCCCATAGAAGCCAAGCAACTTCAGACTTCTTTTAGACCTTTCGTTCCGAACTCCTTATCGATTTCTTGCATCAAATATTCCGGAATCTTAGCGAGATAGGGCTGAGTCATGTGTCATTGTTGAATCATCGGCGTTGGCGTTGTTGGTATTTGCTTGGAGCGCAGCCTTACATAACACCATCGGACAAACATTGCGGTGGGGTTTGGGGGCTAAGAGACAACCACTCCAAGCAGAATTTTTCGGAACATCGCATCGGTCACTTTGTTTCAGGTCTCTTCGTTATCCAGATTCTATGTCTCATATCGGCTTTCTTCCTACTATTCGCCTCTGTAGCTCTAATTTATGGAGTTCATACGGTAATTTTTCTCATCGAAATTTCAATTTAATTATTCACGGTTGATTTTTGACCCATTCCCTAAACTTCACATAAAATGTGATATATTTTGTAAATTAATCTTGTAATGAACGATAAACTTTGTAGCAGTTCCTGACAATTTTTTTTTGGATTTCTTTCTTTATTAAAAAGCAAAAACTGTTCTCCAATTCTTCGACAACCCATCACGGAACTCCATCTCAAAGTTGTACAGGCCCTTTGTGGGGTGTCTTCTTCTTAACTGCTGTAACTTACCCTCTAAAGAACGTTCCTAATGATTACTATAAGAATATTGATGTTGATGGAGAATATTGATGTTTCGTTGGCTTCAGTGAAAATCGTAATTCATAAGTTTTGAAGTGATAACCCACGCTCACAACCACCGTTCCCCTATCGACCTCCTCTTCAGTGTCCTTATTTTAATATTAGCTGACTATGTGGTAGTGGCATCTCGTTCTATCCTATAGGCAAGGTCTTGAGTCGAGTCGCGGATCGATATCCGTCCAGACCACCAAGACTTCCATCCTTCCAGAGTCGAATAATTGCAGAGGATAGATAATTGATTCTGGATCGTCAAGGAGGATGAGAGCTCTGACGTGTACATTGGCCAGCCACCGACTGTCATTGTGACGGCCAAATACGTTACGATTCTGGATGAAAGTCTAGGGCGGGGCGCATTCCGAAACGGGTGACTGGTTAACGCCAAACATTTGATACTTTGAAACTGTATAGGTTCAGGCTCTACGCTCATGAATAACCCGGAGGGAAGGGAGAGGTGTGTGGGGGCGCCAAGTGTTTCATCTTTCATAGTTTTGATGAAACAATTTACCATTGTGTTTAGTTTATTTTCACCTCATTTGTCTACGCGTTTGGGTCAATTTCTGAAATAACTCTATTCCAGTGGTCGCGACACCTTATATGGCCATGGTTCATCTGTATAGTCTCGTCGATCCTCACGTCCCTTGCCTACTGTATCATGTGGTGGGCAGGAGACGTACGCGACTACTGGATGGCACTTACCATTCTCGAAATCATCGGAGTGTTCATCAATGTCGGTGGTCCACTTCACGTTAGTGCCATTCCCAATGAAAATTCATCACATTCTTTAGGTGTATTGTGTAGTTGTGGTTTATATGTTCATGCAACGATTGGCGGCCATGACAGACGAATATGAGGGCAAAAAACCTCAGGTTAGATACAAAGTCAATCGAAATGGATACACGAGGAAGCCGCTAGACGACCATCGCAGTGAGTGATTATTCCAAGGATATTAACCTTACCAGTAGGTAAATCATCCATTACCTAATTAATTTAGTCTATGAACCTGTCCAGCGAAGGACTCCGGAGGATATTATGAAACATTCTTTTCCTCACTATAAAACCCGTGAGCTAACATTCATCGCTAACCGTTTTTCTTCATTCAATCGCATCGTTTCGCACCCCACCGTAAAGCACCTCAAATGTCCTTTTCACAGTCCTCGTGCCTTACTTGGCTTTTCCTTTGTAACCTCCATCGTCGACATTTTCCCGAAACCCTTATGTGTTCCTTTTCTATGTCCTGTTGAATTAAAAAAGCTAATCACAGATTCCCTCCTAACAAGGCTGCATTCCTGAACGTTCAGTACCCCTTACAGAGTTGTCTATGTGCTTATACCAGCCCTCCGCTTCTCAAATCATAACCCTTCATTCGATACTATTTTACCATCGATTCAGCAATGAACCCTGGTTATCCACCGTATTCGCCGTCAGGAATGCCTCAAATTCCCCTGCCGATGCCTTCGTCTCCGTATCCGCCGGTACCACCCTATCCATTAGACGAGCATGAGGTGAGTGTTTTGTTAGGCACATTTCAATACTTACGTTTTCCGAAGGCAATGTCAATACGAATGTAAGACAAAGCAACAAGGGTAAAAATCACTTCTGAGCAATTCATGCACTCGGAAAACTCAAAAGTCTTTGAGTTGATATAAATCCAGCTTTCTGACATCGTGCACTGCAGCCTATACCACAAGCGGGCTTCAGTCTTAACTACCGTACTCACTCTTGACCGGCTAAGTAGAGGCCGGAGATAATGAAAGTATCTTATGAAGGGCGATTGAGACGGAGATAAAAAATTCATTACCAGTTTTTTTGCTCAAAGTAGGGGTAATTATGCTTTTACAAGAGCATTTCGGGTGTTTCTCTCGGTATATTTGAGGTGATGACGCATTGACATAGAAAACTCAATGATAAACTCCTATGCTCTCAAGTACGTACAGCATTCTTCTCTCCTTTCTATTTTTACGACCTTCCCCTCCTCGTCTTCCTACTGCACGATCTCTATGTTGTAGTAATGATAACACGCTTATTGTTAGTAGAGTTCAAACGTTTTGATAAGAACAGTCGTGATAAGGGAATCTCCAAACTTCGTGAATGGTTATGCCATATGTATGAGTCGCCACTGTCATTATGCTTTTGCTTCCTTATCAGATTTGGTAGTCCTCATATCAGTCTCTAAAACAGGTTTTCAAGTAAAAATTACCGAGTTGATCGGATTTTTCAGTAAAAAATCAAATAATGCTTCACACTACTTTGCCGATAGGTTTGTTATGACGGAACCGCTTTTCGACAACCTCGTCGTCTCTCAAGCATCTAAAAGTAGTTCGACACTCCTCACCTGTAGCTTACCCGACCAAGCGTTCAAACGAAACCGAACTACCTTCAGGTCCTTGAAGACGACGAAATAGTCGAAAAGTGAAGTGAAATTCCAGCAGGCTGGCGACACTTTTTCGCTTTGTCTTCATGTCGCCTTCTTGAAAGCACACTTCACGATAAAAATGGTTTCTGCAATGCCTCATCGGATGAGTTCGATGCCATATGTCCTGATACCATATGTGTCGATGTTAGGTCGAGAAACGCTTTAGATAGGGCACAATAAAGGGCTAACATTGTATCGTGTGAATGCCACACCCACAGCGGACGAGTCGTGACGGGGTTGTAGAGGCTGCACTACCTCAAGGGGTCTCCATGTTGAAAGTTCAAACAACTTGTCATGACTCATGGAAACAGTGGAAGGCAGTTTTAGACAATTTGGACTTGGTGTAGTCAGCTCTTAACGCAATTGCAATGAATGAGATCTCGTCCCTATACCCCTTCCACGTCATTTCCGTTATGGTAATCTCGTACAACCTCTATTTCCACTGCCTTAGGAACATCCTTTTTTTCTCGGAGTAGGCGGAGTTTCTCGCTTTTTTCATCATCGGTGTACCACTCTACATCAACACTTCACTTTTCATTTAAAAATGGGTACCGCAAACCATCATGAACTGTGCCTTTATGTAGGTAACGTGACAAAAAACGCCTCAACACCGAAAACGGTACACTTTTTCAGTATTGAACCGGCCTTCTGCACCTTTCCACACTATGGAAATCACACCCATAACAGACTATTTCGTCTCAGGTTTCTTTGAATTAACTTTAATGGATTTTGACTCCGATCGCGTAACTTCGCCTACCTTCTCAACCACTTTATTGCCTGCAATATTACCATCCAATGTTCCAGTTACTGCTGACCTTAGGTGCTTATTATTGAGCCCCGAATATTGTCTTCACTATCGTTACCTTTTACTCACAATACTCATACGTATGTCATCCTTTTTGACAGTTGATAGCAGATAAACTTTAAACTTGGCAAATAAGTGCGGTTATGTAAACGGTCGTGTCAATAGTGAAGGGTAGAGCCCAGAACAAACATTCAACTCGGCGAACAGTCAGATTTGGTCCATCAGTTGAAAGCTCACGTGACTGAGAATGACTCACAAAGCAATTTTTGCCCAGTTAGTTCCACTCCCACACGCTCCGAAATTCATACATTCAAAAGAGGGTCGAAAGAGAAATTCAACGCTGTTCACTATCACCGTAGTTCAACTTACAGCAAAAATCATGGAACCGATGTTCCTGGGCTGATCACAACCATGCACTCAGACTTCCCTTTAACTGGCTTCAGAAACACCTACCAATACATGATTATAACTATAAATTCTTCTTGACTCTTGTGAACGACAGCAAGACGTAATCCTTGAATTGAATAAATCTCTCGTAGTCATCACGAGTATCGAAATTTTCAGCGTGTGAGATATGATCGAGAACCAAAAGCCCGTTTCCCTGAAAAGGAAGAGGATCCAGTGGCACACTGGGTGAAGGACCAACAAAAAATAGGTTCGTTATGTTCTTCTTACTTTCCTACCCTATAAGGCCTACATATCCTGTAAGTAGAAAGAAAGGGGACAGCTTCTCTTTCAGCGCTACTCTCAGAACGAGGAGAGGCGACAAGTGAACCTGTAGACATAAGCAGGCCAGTACGACAAGACTTTCCTCTACAGGTAAGCGAACAGGTGTTCTCCTAAGGCACTCGAAGAATCTACTAACTTCATTTTCAGCATTCACGTTCCGTCCCTTCCCTATATGATGGCACGCTGGTCTCTCATCGGAGTTGCCGACATGGGAAGCACAGGTGGCTAGGTGTTCTTTTTCAGTACTCTAGATAGACTAGTAAAATATTGACCAAAAGTCGAGTAATACAAAGTAGTTTTTTGCGTGTTGGCAGGGATGGTATGAAGCTGATTGATTCCACCCCAACAATTACGTCATGGAGAGCAAATTCTGAATCGCTCAGACTTTAAAAACTTTCCCTTTCTACGGGTTGGTAAATTAGTACCACTCACATCTGTGGGGATGAATGCACCAGGATTGATGAGTACATAGGCCGGCCCACAACCTGTTGCATAGGCTAAGGGGGTGTTTTTAAGGAACTTTTATCGGAGCTCCATAAGTAGGGTCACGCTATCTCAGATTTAAATTTATTTTTTGTTTTTTCCATATTTTCTTGTTCATGAAAGAAGGATTCTTTCGCTGATGTGAGAGCTGTTTGAAGATTACGAAAAAGTGCCTCAATCCATAAATGGTTTTTCATTCAGAAGCTCATCTAGACGACATCGCTCTAGAAGCCGTCATGTGAACAACTCATCCGAATCTGAATCACCGAACGGTACTGCAAGAAACTCAAACAATGAAATGTCTGCCAAACAGAACTACTCTGATGGAGGTTTTTCAGAATCGACACACGATCGTAGGAGACGGCATCGGAGTAGAACGCGGTGTTCCGAATCCGAGATCACCGATACCACCGAAAGGTTTGAACGAGCAGAGAAAGGGAGAAGAAGCAGAAGGTACATCCGTTTTCATTGTCTTCATCGACTACCATTGAAGCTCTATTCTTTCTCTACTAACTTTACCAATTCGTATTTCAAGATTAGAGGTCTAAAGTCTTGGTGCGTTAATCTCGATCCCCTCGTAGAGGATTACACACCTGCCCCGGACCCTACAAAGCCTAAGCTTTCACCACAGCAACAGGTTTTACGGATGCAAGCTGAGGGCAGTTGACAAGACTATAGGTGAAGTGTGTGTCACTGGAGCGGAAGTAAGTAAGCAAGGGATCACGTAGAAATCTGCGCCCATGTTGGACATTTGCTTGGGACTCCTGGGAATAGGGAAATACACGTACGTAGTCGTGAGACTCGTTCATGTCCTGTTGATAAGAAAAGATTTCCAAGGAAGCCAGAATTCCAAGAGAAGTCATAGGAAGGGTTCAGTGCATATGAATACTAAACAAAATGCAACTGAGACTCGGATGAAGTGGAAAGGAGATAGGTGCGTTTTCGTTAGCTATAAGAAGTCACCAATGGTAAGTGAAAAACGCACTTTCCTCGGTGCACACCATAAATTCATCTTGGAAAATAGTCAAGCGGTCGAAAATATTGCTCGAAAATAAATCGAGTGCTTGACTACTCTTAAGTTTCGAAGCTTCCCCTTTGAAATTGATTTTAATTCAAAATGGCCCTTCTTTATTTTTGTTCCACTATCTGTCGCGATTCTGACTTCCACTGCTTATATCTCTTCATGAAATACAATTTCTTAGTAAAACTTGAACGTTAAAGTTGAGTGTTTGAAAGATTCTCACGTAGGCTTAGCGATCATTTTCTGGAAAAGTAATTGGAGTATCGGAATGCCTGTAGCATGATGTGAGCTTGGAAAGCGTGATGTTCGCTCAACGGGCGTCTTCTATTACTCTTTGGCCACTCCTTCGTACTGTCAAACTCTTTTAATTTCAAACGGGTGTGGAAGGTCTGTCTGACTTGAGCGGCATGACGCGCTCGTCGCATCCGCCGTTTGTTTAAAAATTATGTGGTGCGTGATCACTGTGTGTAACGTCAGATCCGAGTATTTGAATCCTAGCCGTTGGCGGAACGGATGACTTAGTGCTAGTGAATACGACTATTGCAACTAGATTACGCGAGAAAACTATCTGCTCTGTGTAATGGGCGTTCGTGGGAATCCAAGACTATGTTTGTTAGTCGTTGCAAACTACCACTGATTTGTTTTGTGGATGGTTCCTGCAAAAAGTCGTGGTTATGGGGAAATACTCGATCGAACAACATTTACGGGTTTGGTTAAAAAGCAACTATGTCGCATTGTAGCATGGGAATGATTGTCGATAAAGGCTTTGGGAAATTTTGATGATCTCATTCAACGGCTTCAGCATAAAATTAGTGGCGGACTGAAAATTTATGTGGAGATTCTTCCAAAAGGGGGTGGTCGATGGCGCCAACTTCAAAAATGTGGTTTCCAAGCGTTGAATGAAGCCAACATTGTATCCTCCGTATCTCTATAGGCGGAAGGATTTTATAGAAAAATTAGCCCCAAGTAACTAACTTCTGGCCAAGAAACTAATGCTGCTACTTGAGACATTTTCGATGCCGTGTTTACTTGTTGCCTAAGATGTGCTCTGTTTGTGAGCTTTTTGTAATCCAAGATTGAAACCCTCCTCAGGTGAGAATCCCACTTTTCTCTCCCCCTCCTTTTCGTCCTTTACGAGCTGATTTGGAGGCTCGAATACCATGGAATCATGCAGTGTAGAGGCACACAGGGTGCGGGTGCGAGAGAATGCAGCAGCCAGATTCTTTGTTACAGGTTCTGGAGCATCACCATAAAAGCTACAGCAAACTTCCTTGTGACAATTCATTCAAAATACCATCTTTCAATCTAATTTCAAATATTTTTAGGCCATTTCATAACAACGTTCTATTGTAGATCTCATAGTGATCATCATAACCGTGATCGGGACGATCGTCGACGACGGAAAGAGCGAAGCGGAGACGACCGCAGCAGACGTCATCGTGAAAGGGACGATTACGACAAAAACGGAAGAGATGAGATCGTCGAACGGATCAGTGAGAGACGACCTCGAGAACGGCGACACGAGTACAGAAATGGCGAGACATCGAGAATGGAAAAGCCAGAGAAAGAGTGGGTGGTATTTCCTGTCTGTGTTGAGAGCCCTTTCCAACATTGTCGTTCTCTTTCAGGACCTCTTTCGATACTGTACAAACTGACGCCACGTTCCCACTCTCCGGTGGTATTTCTATTCCACAACATATCGTCATCCCACCATCAACGGGTGAGCGAGGTCCCGACGGGAATCCTCTTCCACAAAAGTTCCAAATCAATTCCGAGATCACCATCAATTACGATGGACTCAACTCAGCGCCCCAGTCTGATCCAAATGGACTCTATCGAAGGCGATATCCGGTAGGAAGCAGTGAAAGCATGTTTCTGGGATTTGAATTTTTGAATGTGGATAATTTCAGGCTGTGGGAATACAGTCAAATGTTTGAAGCCGTTGCCGCCTCGTCACCGATCTCCTATGCTCAGTGTGCGTATCCATTTCTCCTCTCACTCAATTCTCTTTCAGAATTAACTGTGATATTCCTTATCAGCCGATCTACTTATCATTTTTCAAAGTGTTTTCAATTGTACATATGTTGGAGAGGGCGATCTGTAGTCTTCTCGTCTGTCTGTCGTCAGAATTGTGGATTCATTTGACCTATCCGGTAACCCCTTTCACGCACACAATTTCTGCCTCATTCGTGCTGACCGTCTACGCCTATTGTGATTACCAGTTATAATTATAATGTCAGATTAAATGCGTCCTACTGAATCTTGTATTCAATGCAATATTCTGTTCATTAAAGACAGCTTCACTCCGCTGGAATAGGGATGCACAAATGGGCCTGCGGTTGGACGCGACTGGACCAAAAACGAAGACGTCAGGGTGGTCACGCGAACTTTTCCTCTCCAGCTGGAGGTGATAGGGCAATGTCTACGATGGTACGGACACCTAATGAAAAGGCCAAAGAATCATCCGATAAGGATGGCGATGGAATTCCTTCCCAAAGAAGAGGGGTGATCAAGGAGGGCATTTGACCCATCCGGTAACTCCCGCCGGAGGGCACCGCCGAATCCATAGTAACGGCAGAAGATGCCGCAGATTGAGCGAAGCAGAGACATAGCAGACCCTCCGACTCCGTGAAATTAACGCTAGGGAGAAAATAAGAATTCTGTTTATTGAAGCCCGAAAGCTCGGGTTGCATTTCAGCATCTGATTAAATAGCTATAATCGAGGGCACTATCGTCATAACCAGCCAGAACTCGCCCTATATCAGAACATTTGTAATCAGCAGTACCAGTATTTCAGCAGGAAAAAGGCAATTATGTAGGGCACGGTACCAAGTTGCTTGATTCGTGTAACAGTGTATAACATTGAAGTTAATCTGAAGTCAGAGTTCGAGGAACTACGCCTCCAAAGTTGCTACTGGGCGTTCTGCTCCGATTGTATCGAAGAAATAACATTGGGTTTCTATTCTACTCGCAACTTGTTGCTGCAATGCTACTATTATTGCACTTACTTTGCCTAATGATATTAAGGACTACACGTTTATCTCCCTTAGGAAAGTGTGAGAGAACGTCCCCAATCGTACATGGGACAACACGATTCGTGCCCAAACAACGGTATGGGAGCACGTTCTCAGAGACATACAATCCAAACGTATTTCGAGCCCATTCCTAAGGATAACCACTAATCTACGAGCACAATTCAATAGAGTAACAATACTACCCCAGATAAATCTCTTCCTAACGATTCCAGCTCATTCTTCCTCCCTTTTAAGCAAGATAACTTTCCCACAGTACTCGGTGCCACTGGAAATTTCAAGTTTTTATAGTCCGATAGTCCAAACAAGCGTCTGTCTTTATTACAACATATTTTAGTTAGATGCCTCGAGCTTGGAATGAGTCTAGACATCTTCGGTGCATAGCGTTTCCGAATCACATGCAGCAATTTCACAAGAGTAGACAAAACTTTGCCGACAGTCGGCGGCGATCCAAACAAGCTCTGCTCCCTGTGGCGCAACTCGGACACAATCGATACCGGTCTGATGAGGAGCTGATGATATCCATTGCTGGTTTTCAGGCGACAACTGCAATTTTTTGATACAAAAAGATGGGAGGACGAAGCAAAAGGGACCAGATTTAATATTGTTCAGGCTATGAAAATGTGAAGTCGTTAATTAGCAATCTTGTTGTCATCTAAATTCGCTTGGCCCAGCAGTTCAAGACAGCATTCATCGAATTTCTCTTCAATCTTCTACTATGCTATCCGGTATCCTAGCCAAATCAGAATGCTTCACCCTCGAAAACCCCTGTATGATTAAGCAAGAATTGTTTTGAGAAGGTTCGAAGGTAGCCGTTTAGCCTATGGAAGAGCAGCGTAGGGCAGTCCAATACTAAATCAACGGGGATAGAGATTCTATGAAAAAAAATTCCCGAGCATGGCTAAGGGAAAGGACGGGCGTCCATTACCGTAAAGGTCAACGCTACTGAAACGGAGTTAGACGAGGTTCTATCGAAAAGATAATAGTAGTAAGGTTTAATTTGAAGGAGAAAGATGGAATTTTTGAGTACTTTGCACGATAAAACGCTCATCCCAACTATCCCGTGGGTCTTTTACAAAACCATTACGAGCATGGACCTAAAAAAGCACAAGAACTTTCTAACTGTAGGAATCCGAATAACCATCACGATAGGATGAGGAGTACACAGTGATAGGTCACCAGTGATGCTGTGGTAGAGTGCCCACTAGCTCTAACCCACCTCTAACTCCCACATTATACTGCATTAATGTGTTGAACTTCGCGAATTTGTGGTTTTCCCACCAAACAGACTTGTGCGATCGGAGACTGATAGAAATTTTCCATGCCCTTGAGTCTGTATAGAAGAATACAGGTTTTATTGTCTCACCGTGCTTCCATCCGCCCATTTGTATGTTTGACTGATTTGGTCCCATTTCAAGCCAATCCAGAAACTGCTATCAGTAACGAACTCTGAAAATATGTTTTACTGTGACCCATAAATGACCTATTTAAATCTCAACAGGGATTGTAATGTGTCTTCTATGAGCACTTGAGGAACAGTACGAACAATAGGTATAGGCACAGTAGGGAGCAGTACTACTTGAGTTTTCAGTAAGTCCTTAACCGTTTTTTGTCCTAGCCCGCCTGTGTACCTGGTGATGAACTCAGCGGAAGTAAAACCTCAGGTCCTGATGGAAAGACAGTATACCCTACAAAGTGAGAATCTCCACCAGCTCCTTGTGCTGACCTTTCCTGACACTATGAATGTTGACTTCTGTCCACTGTTGACTTTGACAGTCTCTGACAATTTCTAAACGAGCGAGGCAAGTCACGGACATCTTTCTATTTCCAATCAGCTAGTAATCTTTGGGACCTCTTAGTTCTCATCCAACATTTTCTTAAATATTGTAACTAAGGAGCGTAGAGTAAGTCCCAATGGCGGATATAAACTGATGTCATAGTTAAATAAACACGACTAGCTTGGAACAAATAACAAACACTATTAGACATAT